AACCGGAATGAATGTACCGACTTAGTACAGTTTAGTCTGCTAAACTAAACTAAACATAAGGAAAGGCTGGGAGTACAGCTGGAACGATTTCCTATGGCTTTCAGCAAAATGCCACGAGTTTGATGTCGCGTGTCGGTGATGACAACAGCAACGTGAGGTGTGTTTGGGTGGCTGAGGGGACAGAGGGGACACCTGTCCCGAGCCCCTCAGCAGGGATGCCCTCAGTAAGGAATGCTGCCAGCACCAACAGAGGCAGAGGGAGCACGATGGGGGGGAGCACCCCGGTTCCTTTACCCCTGTAAAAAGCAGTTCCACCGTGGTTTTGGCAGGGCCGTCCTGCTATCACTTCTCCATGGGATGAGTGGGACTTTGGATCAGGGGCACACGTTCCACAAAAAGCCATTCTCCCCAAGCCCCCTTCGCAGGTTTCCAGCATGACTTCTCAGACCAGCTGGGCTSTGCTGAGCCACTCTGAAGCCTAAACCAAGACCACTGCCTGTTTTTTTGGGTTGTGTGGCTGCACAGCAGCTGCAGCACAAGCAGGCAAATCCTTCTCACAGGAATAGCAGCAGTTTGAACAAGTGGAGGAAATCCATCTAGAGGGAGGAGAGGCGGGATGGGCATTTTGGAAAACAAAGTGCTCCAGATAACAACTATTAACCTTAAAACTTTTCTCATAATTTAAGGCAAGATGCCACCCAGCACAATGGGAACCTCTGGAGCTGTGGGAGCATAAAAGGTCTGAAATAAACAAGGATGTGGCTACAAAAACAGCTGCACTTGAGTTAGTTTGGCAACCACTGCCAAACTTCTGCTGCCTCAAACTTTTATCCTGCCTCACACTTCTGCTGAATAAGGAAAGCCCTGCCCTGATGTCCTGCCTGAACAGAGAGCTCTCTTGCAGTCCAAGCTTTCAAAGCATAGCAGGAAAAGTTTGATTTTCACCGCCCTTCACCACATGCACCAACCCTCACTCAATTTAAACCAGAAAAAATATATTTTGGGGATTTACTGTTCTCCAGCTTGGAYTATCACAAAATGAGATGGATGGAGCCCAAGAGATGCCAGACACCTACATACACGTATATGTTCCCTGTCCTTGACACTTCAAAATACTTTYGGTAATTCAGTACCTCCCAGTTTTCCTTGGCTCCAGATATGCTCGCCTGCCTTTGCTTCGATTCATGTGCTGCCAAGCTGAGGAAAAAGCCAAAATGCTCCCTTTGCTGCTGCCCATGAAATGGATGGCTGTGGAGTCWGACAGCAATCCCTAACCACAGATTTCCATGTGGCTGGGACCCACAATGTTGCCCAGTTGAAACCAGAAGGGCAGGGTGGCTTTCCATTAGTCCCTGAAGAACAGGTCGACAGCAAGGAGGACACTCCTTGCACCGCCAGCAGGTCCTGTGCTGGACGCCACCATAATTTTTCTTGAAAAATGAGAAAAATGAAAATAAGTAGACTCAAAACACTTGGTCTCCAGCTGTAACACCTATCCRCAGAGGGCTTTGCACCAATTCTGTCCAATGTAGACTGAAAAAAAAAAAAAATCCTTGACATTATGGAAATTCATAAATCCCCACCAACTCAGGTGATGTGAGCAAGCTGAAGTGTTGCTGCATTGGGTCCAGAATGAGGTTGCTACAGGGAACAGCCACCTAAAAGCCTGTACCCAGCTTCTCCYCTGTGGAAGCCAGAGGTTCCAGTGAAATAATGGGGCTCTCAATGGTCCTTTGCTTTTGAGATCCCAATGATTCATGTTTCTTATGTAAGAGAAGTGTGGGAGGTGAGTRGAGGTAATCCTTTTTATTAGATGAACTAATAGAGCTAGAAGTCATCAGCCAAATACTAAAATTATGCCAAGAAACCAGGGTTTTGTCCATGATTTTTAAYATCTGTGTAATTATGGATTTTACTTCCCAGTAAAAGCACTTTACTCCCWGGTTTCAAGCCCCGTCTCCTGGTTAGAGAGAGAGCAGCTCCTGTTAATTGCAAAGTAACTGGTTTGAGATGAAAAAAAGAGAGTAGAAGAACCTCTGCTTAGGGAAACCATTCCAGGGCCGCAGGGAAGCTGACAGAAAAGTTTACGTGGCTTTGGGAAACCCAGTAAGAAGGCTGCAATGCTGAACTTGGAAGGCTTTCGGTTAGCAAAACGGTAGTTGGAATAAGCCCACGAAAGGAAGCTGGATGCTCCTGGCAGCAATGCAGACCTGTGATTTCATGCCCAGCTAGGCAAGGAAATGGGCAGCAAGATCAGAGGCTATTGTGCTTTGGCTCCTAGGAAAAGAACTGGTATGGTCAAGCCAAGAAATGAGGCAGCRCCGCTGCACAATGGCTGGAAAGTGCAAGGGTGGACTGGATAACAGCATTCACACGGTTATTATCAAGATCAGCAATTACCAGACCTGGCCTTTCAGAGCTAAGTCACCAGTTCAAAGGCAGGCCACCACTATGCTGAGTGATGCCAACTCTTTGCCTGAAGTCCCCCCTCCTCTGGGAAGGCTCCTGCCTCCCCTGCCAGCACTGACAGCAGGAGAGCAAAGGGAGACCCAAAGCATCTTTATGTGCGGGGCCCTGCAGTTCGATGGCCTGATCCACGGCTGGGGAAGCACACTGGGCTTCACACCTCTGCTCCCTTGAGGATTACCTCAGTCCATTAGAGCCCAGTGCTAAAAATGCCTGKGTTGGGAGTTCAATCCCTGTACAGGCCATTCACTTAAGAGCTGGACTTGATGATCCTTGTGGGTCCCTCCCGGCTTGGAATATTCTATGATTTAGTGACATCCACTCTGCAGGGGTAGAATCCATGTGTCAGTGGCACTTCAGGAATCTCAAAGAACAGGACAGAAACAGCAGTGGACAGTAAAAAACATTCTGTGAGGACGTGTGGCTAACAGAAGAAGATCGCTGATACTTGTTAGCCACTGCCTGAACTCGTGCTGGCATCATTCCTGATTTCCACCARCATAAACATCGGAACAGGTCAAAACGGAGAGAGACAAATCCATGGATCATTGTTTTTGAGACCAATCAAGAAGAAATGCAATAACAGTTCAGGAAAGGGCGGGTTTCATAAGGACAATGATAGAGAAAACCAAGGACTTTGCCAAAATATTATCCCCAGCATCAACTCTAGGAAACTGGCTCTGAGCCTAAGGAGGGAACCTTCCATCACATCCCATGGCAARCACATCTCACCCCACGTTCACCAAGGGCCACAGGACAGAAGGATCCTTCTATGGTAGATCCTTGAGCATTAAACTGGATGCAAATGTGGAGCACTTGAGTTCMAGTAGGATCAGCTGTTTAAAATCCTTCTGTTTGCAAAGGAGTTGTACCAAAGGACTCACACTCCCTTCTGTTTGGAGACTGCAGSTCCTGTAGGCTTGAGGTAATCTGTCTTCACTGCTTTGTGTTTGTCCATCATCCAGATCCCAAAGTCCAAACAGCCAAAGGAAAACTGTGGTGAAGTGTCTAAATTTAACACTGAAACTCTGGAAGAATTCCTAACTGTCCAGTTCCACTGCYTGTCACAGCATCAGTGCAAGTAATGTCACCACTGAAACTTGAAGTCCGTATTTTAGGACTGGCAAACAGACAGTTCTGTCAGCTTTAGGCTCTCATTTCATGTCATTCTCACCTTTGAGCACTGGCTTGCTTTCATATCGCTGCGGATGCTGAATTATAGATTACAAGAGAATTTCAACTTCAGCCTCGTGAAGTCCTTAAGTTTTTGAATTTAGAGAAAAGTTTGCATGATCAGACAGCAGGAAGAAAGCAATCCATGGCCTTGAAAAGCCTCACTGGGTTAAAGTTGGTCTCTTGCTGGAGGGAAGAAAGAGAGGTAGGACTTAAATCACAACTTTTTGACCCACAGRTTTCCAGCTATGGGAACACCCAAACTTCCCATTTGCCAAAACACAGAGAAGGGGCAGTGAGAGAGCTCCTGTTAGCTCTCTCTAGGGGAGAGGGAAGGGAGGGTCTGCAGGCTGGTGGTTCCAAGTACCTCCAATGCCTGAGCGCACTGGATGGCTGTGGTCCCTGCCACAGCCAGCTGGGTGGAAGAAATCAGAAAGGGYCTGAGACTTCATTTCCTCTCACCCTTCTGAAGGTGCAAGCGAATGGGCTGCAGCAACTATGATCTCTCTCTAAATTAAGGAAATCAAATCTCATCAACAAATGGTGTGATGTGAGAACTCAGCCATGCCTGTGCTGCTGGTCTTATCCAAATCTTGAGATCAGGATAGCAACAGAGATGTTCACAGAGCTCRAAAGAGAACCACAGCTTTATTAAAAAGTGTTCCAGTCAATGAAATGRAGGTTTAAACCATCACCAGGGAGTCATTAACAGCATGTTTGAGATTCTAATGACGTTTTGCAGGAACAGCAAAAATGTSTGTGTTCCTGGATAGCTAGAAATGCAGCTCCAAGAAAATAGCTAGAARCACAGATCCAAGGAAAACTCAAGGCGCTGCAGTTTCTCTGTGGGGAGACCAATACCTGCTGTGGCTGAGCACTATCACTGTGGGTCTGAGACTTTGACAAAGGAAAAGAAGGCTCTGTGAGGCACAGCTAACAGGAGCAACCACATTTTGCCTTAGAAGGAAAAGGTGCCTTGCRTGGAAAGGGAGTACAGTCAGACAGGAGTGCACTAGGAGACAAAAGGCTGGGGAGCAGTGAGAAATCACAGAGGCTGATGGCTGAAGAGATTCAGTACCAGCTGCAGACCCACCCTTGCATTTTGCTCCAGTGTGCTAAAGRAAAGGGAAAGAACAAGCCCCAGGGGTAAGGGCTGGAGCGCTCTGGTCTCACCAGACATGGCTTTGCTTCTTCCACTCTCTGGATGCAAGCGGCAAATTAAACCAGTGCACAGCAGGGCTGGAGAACATCTTGCTGCTGAGGAGGGCAGTGGCATCTGCTCAAGTTCAAAAGAAAAGCTGGAAGCAGTCCTAGCAGAAACGGGTAAACCTCAGGTAATCGTTGCTTACAAAGCAAATGCAGAAACACCCTATCGTCTGTGTCAAATCAAGGTGCCAAATCCCTTGAAGGCAGACTTGCACACTCCAGTCTCAYAGGAGCCATGAGCCAGCTCTGGCTCACACCAGTTTGTCTTTACAGCAGGCTGTGCTGAAGCAAGGCTTCATTTAAAGTCTGATTGTAGGTGGCAAAGCCACCCTCCTCCCCAAGTGGTGCCTCCACCACTGCCCACCGGGCAAACTCCCCCCTTCTTCCCAAACTACACAGTTACAATGATGAACTGTAGTTGCAAAACGTSGGCTGACAGGATTTCTGGGCTTGGTAAATCTGCCAGGTCCACTGACCTCTAGCCTAGCTCTCTCCACCTTCAAGGGGAATAGTGTCCCCATGAAATASGTAAATTGCAGGTGTGTAGTTTTTAGGCAACATCAGTAGAAGCTTAGCAGGAGTCGCTAGACTTCTCATCTTTAGTTCATGGCTTTCAGCCTCTCAGCACTCCCAGCAGAAGCAATTAATTTCTGGGACAAAGAGAGCTATCCCACTCCACAGATGTTTCCTCTTAGTTCTACTGGACTCGAGTCAATGAAAACGTGGCAGTATCTGCACAGCAACACATGGAACTTTCCACCAGCCCAAATGGGAACAGGAGCATTCTSAGTTGAAGACTCTATTAAAATTCTGCTATTTTTGTTTGGAAGAGAAGGGAGGGGTTAAAGGGAGCTAAGAAAATAGAAATTAGCCCTTAGCATTCCTGAGAACCAGTCTCACAGATTTCTTGGCAGACAGTGTATCGACTGGGAGAGCTGTAGGACCTTTTACCCCTGTCAGAGCTTTGTTTACCCATTTGGGATATGAGCTGGTAGCAGCAAAGCTCCAGGGGCAGCTGAGACCAACTAGCAGCTCTGTAATGCTTTTGGCAGGCTCCTTATTTATTTCTCAGGGGTTGAAGCAGACCCCATCTGAACTGGGGTCCCACTCCACCCCACTGCTTTTCCATGCCAAYAGATGGGAAGCAGTGACATAGAAGGAACAGGACCCCTTGGGACCCCCAATTCATTCTGTGCCTACATACCCAGCTAGAGAAGACCTGGGGGAGAACACACACGCTTAGGGGGCACTGCAGACACTGGCACCACGTTAATTTACAGCACTGCTCTGAGCAAGTGCTTGGCACCAGGTCTCTCTCTTGAGCACACAGCCTGGATCTCAGAGGGCTAATGTTTGCTATACCAAGAAATGGGGAGGGAGTGCACATGTACTTCCCTCTACAGAGGTGTCAGTTCACACACTTGAAACACAGTGATGTTTCTTTTCCCACCACCACCTCCAGCTCTCATAAAAACATATTTAAAATTAAAAGGCTCTGGAGAGGGGACAAGAAGCAACTTAGGTGATGTAACTTGGAAAACACCTGGAGATCCTTCAGCTGGAAGGCTGTGTAGAAATACACTATTCATGTTACAAAATTCACCCTGAGTGTAACTCAGGGCAGCCTTTTGGTACTCAACCACAAATCTGCAATAAAACAGGCAACAACTATTCAGAGAATGGCTGAGGTTCAGAACTTGAAGTCTCATTTAGATTAACCATTTTCTGATCAAACAAAGATTGCCTGTGATAAATCTAAGGTACTTGAAAGGCTTTTTCTTCCTTCAGTTTTCTTTCTTTCTGTTTTTACACAGAAAGCTTTGCACAGCAAGRAGTGGATCAGCTACTGTAAATCTGATGTCAGGTTAATGTTTGCCTCAGGCAAACACTCTGCTGAAGTGATTAAAGATGATATGTACACTCACTGTCACTTCTTGGMTCTACTACTGTGTAGCACCATTACAACCTACCTAACCCATTACTTAAGGTACTGAAAAAATCCCAACTCTTCAAAATACAAACCTTGGGCAAATTTTGGGGAAGTGGTTTTTGTTTTTTTTTTTTAAATAAGCCATCTGCCTTTTACATTGCTTGTTATAGCAGTGGCTACACATAGCTGAAATACACAGTACTGTTGCAGTCACCTTGAATTAACTTTGTATATGAGATCTAGCAAAAGAACTGAAAAGATGCGGGGACTTTAAATACTCCACATATTTTAATGTGATCATGATTATTAGTTTCAGCTGTAATATGTTCTGTCCTKTATCTACAGCCCTCCTTCAGCAAAATCCTTCCTTCCCTTTTCCCCATCAAACATGTTACAGTCAAGAGAATATTCTTAATCTGATATTATAAAATTGAAACAGAAAATTCAGAAAATGTTGCTTAAGTAAGAGCCAAATTACTTCTGGATTTTGTAGTAACTTCTGCCACAAGGGTTGTTTCAAACAATCCTTAACACTTGCAGATGAAATATTACCTTAAAAATCAGCTTCCTTTGACTTTTTCCATCAGTGTCTCTTCCTGTCTTGCCAAATAAACAGTTCTTACACTTTGCTGAGACAACCAACTGATGTAGGGAGGGAATCCACTGCTTTCGACATTGGGTGATGCAACTTGTTTCCATGCCATCTGCCATCCTCTGCTCTTCCCTGTTAAGGATCATTACTGACAGCCACTATGCTCTTCCAGCTGAATTATCAAACTCTTAAAGATTAACTTCTTTTCCCATTTACCTTAGCCATGTCCCTTCTCCTTAGCCACCCTGAGAAGTTTTGTCTAGGCTACTATTGTAGCYGTTGGCAAGAGGGATAGGTAGAGCTCTAGGGAGCAAGAAAATCACAGAATGTTGAGATGGAAGGAACTCACAGGAATCATCAAAGCCCAACTCCTGACCCTGCACAGGACACCCCAAGAGTCACATCTATGCTCTGGTGTGACATACATTGTCCAATGTATTGGACAGCATTGTCCAAACACTTCTTGAACTTTGTCAGGCTTGGTGCTGTGACCACTTCCTGGGAAAGCCTGTTCCAGTGCCCAGCCACCCTCTGGGTGCAGAAACTTTTCCTGATATCCAACCTCCTAAACCTCCCCTGGCACAGTTTCATGCTGTTCCCTTGAGTCGTGTCACTAGTCACCAGAGAGAATAGTTCAGTGCCTGCCCCATTGCTTCCCCTTGTGAGGCAGTTGTAGACAAATCTTGGTTTGAAATATGAATTGGGAACTTGGTACCATGTTGTATTTATAGCAAAATCTAACCACATTTTATTCAAGAATAGAAAAGTAACTTGAAAGAAGATTTCCACCTAGTGCTGTTCTCATTTGTGCTGCACTGAAGACAACCCCATATACATTCTAGAACATAGCAGCTGGTATACAGAAATGAAACACATGCAAACAGAATTAAGTGGAAAGTACACTAGTCACGCTGGAAAACAGACTCAAGCACTTCCAAGTGCTTCCAACAGCATCAATTGCAGCTGGTGCACTTCCTAGGTGTCAGCAGTTACCCGTATGGAAAGCACCTCAAATTTGCTTATTTGAATTTAACTGTAGCTTTCTTTACAATTAGTAACATTCTGAAAACCTCTTAGCCAGGAAGATGACTGTGCTGAAAGAAAAAAAAATAACCTTTTCTTTATATACAAACTGACAAGATTGCACAATCAATTAAAAATAGTTTTGAACATTTAATAAAAACTCATCCTAGAAACCCAACTTTTGGTCGTGAGGTCCCCAAAGTCTCTTCTTCATCCAAAATCTTCTGCAGGGCTATGTGCAGTGACTTGCCTACTCTTTGTCCTGTCTGCAAAACAAAAAAAGCAAAACAAACCTGAGACATATGCTTATTAACAGGAAGACAACTCTTATGGAACACTTCCTTTTGACAAATATTTTCCCTTTGATGATTCATATACACCAGCTGGTATCATAAAATATGGTTTTAATTTAGAAAAATAATGGTGGTGAAAGTTTCATTTTAACTTGATTAAGTTTTGGAAAACTGTACACACATAGGCAGTGCTCTCATCCATCAGAGATGCATTCCACAATCATTAATACCAGATTTGTGCACCACTAGATCACCCAGGAATACAAATTAAATTCACATCAGGCACAAGCACACATTCAAATTAGCCARCGCACAGAGCATGAAGCACTATTTTAGCTGCCAGAGGACAAGAGACACCTGACCAGCAAAGCAGCCTAACAGAAAGTTCAGTAAACTCTTCTGAATGTGCTCAGAATCAGCAGAGTGAACACCCTGTCCTGGGGCCACAGAAGCCCAAATTACACGCTGGCTGCACCACCAAATCATCTGTGGGCAGACACTCCATATGATGTGCAGTTCCGTAGTGCTCAAGGACCTTAAAGGATGTTTTCTTTATAGAAACAAACTCCAGCAGTGAAAATCCACCAGGATTGTCTCCAGTGCTGACCTCTACTCTTCCCACACGCCCACTGTACTGTGGAAGCCACAGGGCAGGGAAACACTCGGAAAAGATCTTAAGGCAGCAGTGCCCATTAGAGCTTTTCCAGGGTCTCTCCGAATGACCTGAAATACTGACTCCAAACAGAGATGAAGAGCCCACCCATCTCTAAAGAGCCAATGGCAGACTGTATTATAATAAGTTTACTTGCTCCTGATCTATGCAGTGAAGCACTGGCCTGCCATACAGCTGCCACAAAACTTTTTCACCTCCTGGTGACAGCTACAGAAATCCTGGATGCACAAAACTGAAAATAAGTGGCATTTTTAATTGAAGAGCCAGGCGACAGAATATGGCCCATGGTGCCAAAGAAAATTTGGGAAGAGCTCTGATGCAGCAGGGTAGCTGTCAGTCCTAGACATTATAACTCACACTAAATAAAGTGGGGCACACAAGAACTGTTACACTCCGCCCTGGGACAAAGATCACGGCAGCAGCCTGGAGTCRTGAGGGCAATACACTTTCTTCTCCTCAAATGTAGGACAACATCACTCACACCARGTCAAAGTGAGTGGGAACTGTGAAGAGCTTTCGTAYTGACCCAAYACTTAGCTTGCCATCYTATTCCTGCTTGCCTYTAGTGGAAAGGATCATAAACTCAGYAAAAAAWTAGYCTAATGCTGGCAGCTTCCCAYAACTTYCCCATGAAACTCCCTCCCTAAGAGATATATCTGAGAACATCTGTTCTCTACCAGTCAGGAAAAAGTGAACATCCTCYRACCTGCAGCCAAACCATTCAGGGACAGAGGTGTCAAACATGGGTTACTCAGTTCCTCCACTGGGCATTCCCAGGCCTTGTTTTTCTTGATATYCTAAACTGGATGTTGAGTTTAAGGCAGGACCAAACAGATAATCTCTGACCTTAGAGAAAACATCCTGGGGTTTTTTTTATGATCAGCTTTATCTCTAATTCCTGCAGAGGAATTAGAYAACACCTCTCTACCCAGGTAAGGGGAGTAAAAGGCATGTCTGAATGCAAATAAAAAGCCCACTGGTACTTCTGGGATTAGCACTCTGGATTGRCATCATGACAGAGTCAAGTACCATATTACTCAGCTGTAATTCCCACTTGWGACCAACTGTTATCAAACTTGGCTCCAACTGCAGCATTCCTCACTAGAGCCATGCAGAAATGGCTATCTCTAGGAAACTGAGCCACCTTGAAGCATCTAATTTTCATTCTGACTTTCAAGTTCAAAACCCATTTCTGTCTCATGCTCAAGGCCAAACTTGGGCATGAGAATTTACACTGGAGAACAGATTTAAGAAGAGCCTGAAGAAGGGTTTAGAATGTAACTCTTACATGGATGTGGACAATTTCCAAATACTGTAAGTTTTATTAAACAGGGACAGATCAGAAACCCAGTAAAGAAGAAAAGAAAAACAGTAAAAGTAGAACGGTAAGCTTATAAAACAAATGAGTTGTGCTAGAACACCATGCACCAGCAATTCAAAACACCATCTCGACTTTTATGGAGACTTTACCATGTTCGAGGTTTTGTTCCTTCAGTCTTTAAAAGAAATAATAAAAGAAGAAACATGTTATTTAAAAATACTCTTGAAGTCTATCAGCTTAAGCTTTATTATCTTACAGCTGTGAAGTACTTGAAGCCTGAAACAAATGTGAGTACCATACATGCCAGGAATCTAAAAGCTTTAGACAGTGTTCATTCACATTAGAAGCTGTTTCAAAGAAACTGTCTGTGACCTTCATGAAGTCCCTTGTGCACCAAATCAAAGTACCAAGATCTCTGCTTTAAAAGTCATTACTGCAGCTTTCCATACACAACAAGTTCCAGTTCATCCAGTATCATCCAAGACAGTAAACTGTTCAAAATTTCTTACCTCCATCATTTCAAAAATACTCTCAGGATCCAGGCTACCTTTCCCCACTTTCTTCATAGAAGTGATGGCACCTTTACTGGTCACAGAAATTAGCAGGCTTGCCAAAGAACAGGCTTCTTCCTGRAGAGTGGCATCCACCACATGCCTATATCCGATCTATATGTTAGTGACAAAACARTGTATTAGTCTGCAGTTCTCAAAGCTCCCCCATTAAGAAATTAAACTGTGAGTGCTGGCTTTGTAACTTATCTACAGCCTCCCATCCTAACATCATGTGGCCTTTGGAAGTGGTCAGAGACTGACTTGATAGCACAGGATTTAATCAGCCTCTGCCCCCAGATTGTGTATACRTAAACAACAGAGTTGAGAGAAGCATGTCMTTATTTCATACTKTTTTCTCTACCATCCTTTCATCTSCATGAAAYTCCATATCCACCTTTSCCTGATGCTCCAAGCACAGACTTTGCTCCCCTCTATGTGAAAATGACACATTCCAAAACTCAGGTGAGCCCACACTTCAGCAACAGCTTCTCTACTATTTATGCAACTTGCTTAAAAGAAATGCCAAGCAAACATTCAGGTAACYTTCAGGTAACTGAAAATGCAGCATYCATAAAATGAACCTTAYTAGCCTTGTGCTATATATGGAAGACAAAAAACATGTTTGAAAGGAAAGRGACAGTATTGCACCCATGAAAATGGAGTTCTGTCCTCAGTGACAAATATTCATCATGTAACTCCAGGCAGATCACACAACCTCTATGCTTGAACACAATGGCCTCTTGTTTTAACATACTGGTGTATCTGCTGCTCTGGATGTTAAGCAAGAAGCAGATCAAAAATACTAAACAATTTCTCTACATGCAAGAAGACGCATTTTATGAACGCATCAAGAAGAAACCTAGAAGTCAGAGTTGCAAAAAAAACCCTTATTCAGTAAAAGTTCTTCTTAACTAGGAGGCCAAAGACAAACAAATATATACATAGTGGACACTGACCATTTCTGTAACAATAATTTTATCTCTCGGGAAAAAAAGAAATGGCAGGCAAAATTAATGCAAACTGGAGTCTCTAGGCAGAAAGTCAGAAATTTGTCAGGCTTACTTTGCTTAGYGTGACAATACAGGGCACCTCATCTACATTGAGTCGAATACAATCATAAGGGTCATCAGACAGCTCAATCTCTTTGGTGCCTTCTTCATCCTCCAGAACACGCACTTTGGGTATTCTGTGGAAACAAAAGGTGTAAAATCATTGCCAGAACACCTAACAAATACAGCTGTTACACAGTCACAACTCCAGGAAGTCCCTGATCTTCTAAATGAGGCAAAATGTTTAAAAATACAGTCCAGAATGTGATCAAAGTATTAACAACTTACTCCCTGAAACTACAAAAAAAAACATTGTAAGTGAGAAGACATTTAGGATAACATCATCATATTTACATCATTTAAACCATTAGAATTTGAGTTATTTTTTACACTATTTACACAAGGAGAAATTCTTTTGGAACTTGTACAAATCAGTTCTGAACAATTCCTGGCACACCTGCCTGGACATATAGGAGACAAATTACCAACACTGAATCCTTTTGTACTGTGGCTCCCAACCTYGCAGACAAAAGTAAAGTTGTCAGCATTACATCAGTTGTACTGTTTGGCAAAGCTGTGACATCAGAAGCAAATATAAACAGTAAAGCTCTTCAGGAAAGAATGAACAGCTCTTACCAACTAAAGAGATTTGGGGGAAAAAGAAAATGGGACATTAGTATAATCCTTTCTGTAGTGAGATGAGAAGATTGACAAGATACTCTACTGTTCTAAGGAGAGATATACAAGGGATATATAACATACCAGGACAAAACAGTGATGAAAAACCAGGCAGAAATCCAATAAATACTTTCTTCTCAATTGTGAATGATGAGCTCTCTCCCAAATGAACGAGATAGACTCCTTATCAGTYGTACATACATTGTATTTGTGATAGCCATCTAATGGAATTTTTATGGGATGATTTAAGGCAGTTTTCTTAGCATAATGAATGAAGTAATTTAAAACAATTTAGTAGAAGATGGTATCTCAAGCTGCCAAGAATGTCAGTATCTTATACACCCTCATTTATCCAGGTGCCTGCTAGGATAGAGCATACCAAGTTCACCCACACTACTCTCTCTTCCACACATTTGCACTTGAAAACAAAATATTTCAAGATGTCCCCAGACAGCAAACTTCAGTAACCACAATCTGGTTTTATGTTAGTACTTTTACAGTAGCATTGTGTTTTATAACTGCACTCTGGAGATTACATTCTTTTATGCCATCTGAAACAAATCTCTTAAAAGAGGGGGGATTTAATGAACAYTTCCCCCCACTAAAACAAGGTGATTTTTATTGTTCCCTGGAAAAGTATTTTAGTTTTTTGTGGCTAAGAGTCCTGGTGGCAAGTACTTCAAAACAGCTATCCCTGCTCCAATGACAACAAATTCCCTACAAGCATGCTGGCCTGAGCCAACCCAAAAGGAAGACTTTGAGTAAGCAGAGCAATTGTGATGTACACTTTTTTCCTGAAATGAAACTCCAAATGTTTTCCAACTCATTAGAAATGCATTGAAGCCTATTTTCAAGTTTAAAACATTTCATTAAAAGTTGATGGAATAAGGTCACAGGGTGACTAATCTTCAAACTACACAGGACAATGGACAACACTGGACAACAGCCTAGTCAAGCAGGAATTGTACGTGCCAGAGCAGTGTTTAAAAAACAAAGCAAGATTTCAAGAAAATATGTGAGATTAAGCAATTTTTAACTCCAATCTAAAACAACTTTGAAACCAGAGCAGTGTTTGGTCTGCGAGAAAAAGTTGCCTGAATTAATATCTGAAAAATGCCTGCAAGGAGCTTTTTTGGCCAAGAACAGATGAGAGAGGTGTAAATTAGAACTACTGCAAAGGCAAAAAGATCAGACACAAGCATCACAGTTGCATAAAAAGTGGGTATACGGACACAAAACCTAGGCAAAGTGAATGTTTTCCAGAACACTGTAGATTTCCTCTCCCAGCTTGTGAAGATTTATCTTAAGAAATAGCTGTACGTGTTTACTYTGCAACTTTTATTTTTCTGTTTTGATTCCTGCAACTAATCAGGGCAGAGATGTGTACAGCAAGATTCAGTCACATAACAAACAGTGCTCTTTTCTGTGTATGCAGATCCAGATTTCACAAACCAGTCCCACCSTTGAAAGCAGGCATCAATTCTGCCTCTACCATGCTGCGCAGCAAAAACTCAGCATCTGCAAAGCTGTTGTGCCATGAACTTTATGGTTTTTGTAACTTGCCTATTTTTTGCAGCCTTGGTTGCAAGTAGGCACATTCCACAGGACAAAGTTTAATGTCTTGGCACAGTAGYTAACTGCACATTTTACAGTATCTACTTCCATTATCCATAAATCCATCCATAAACATCTGGGAGACATGGGTAAGAATAAAATCTGGTATCTGCTATCTTGTGCACATGATCTTGACATAGTTTTTAGAACCTGAGGAATCAATACAAAGCTGTACAAAACTGTGAGGAGTAAATGTTCYCCCTAAACCAGTCCTATTGTCATTRTTCCATGCCTGAAGGGGAGAGGAGTCAGGTCAGGCATTCAAAGGATTTAAATCCCTGCAGGTCTTGTGCAAGATTCCTTAAGTCGTGATGTTGGATGTATTTAGTTCGAAAACAAAATGTGTCCTCAGATATTACAAAAATGCTTAGAGCAAGATTTTAAATTGAAGCTGAAGTTTTCAAATACCTATCTGAATATCTAAAATTTTGTAGCTTCAAAGAAAAAAAAAACAGCTGCTCTTTGTTCCAAGACTGCAGTCAAGGCTGGAAACGATCTAAAAACACTTAGAACAAAAACCTGGTTGTAAACAAAGGAGGAAAAGCAAATAAGAATCAAAAAGGGACACATGTCGAGCACAGTTCAGAACACTTAATCTGAAGCAATCTCCAAACTGACATCTTGTCTTGTTTGGAGAATAATACTTTATGGAGAACAGGCAGCTACTCTTAAACAACCTTATGTCAATCCAAAGAAAACCCAGTAGCTACCAAGCTAAAGACAAAGGAATAGTGGATGAGAACAACAGGTTTTCATCTTGAATTTYACCTCTTGACTTTCTGAGCTTGTATGAGATGAGCTGTACTAGCATTCCCTGCTCAAATTAGTAAGATAGGGTTTTTAAAGGTAAAAAATCASCAGGCTCTGCATTGTGTCATACTGTACCACATTTTGATATGACGCCCAGCTTCAACAGGACTCGTGATGTTTGCCYACAGTCCAAAGATTATATAAAGGACACAGTTGTCAAAAGAATAAAATAAAGAAGAAACATGAAAATAATTATGTCATCCATCATGTTGTCCATGTTCCCAGAGCAACAGATTTTCTTCTATTCACTTATTTAATTAATTACTTTTTATTGATCTTCTCTCTTTATTCTAGTTAAAATAAGAAAAAGACCTAGTTATCTTATAAATAAAGCATGAGCCTTGGATCTGCAAAACAACTCACATGCTAGCTAGTAACTGTTTTAACTCTATGACTTTTGCATCCTGGCAACTCTCACACAGAAACACAAGCATTTCTCTAGTGTACTGCCAACTCCTCTGTGAGCCATTACATTTCTAAAACTATTTCTTAATGTTAGAAAAACAATCTACTGTTAAAAGTTACTGCTGAAAACTTGATTAACATTGGAAATTTCTCAGCAACATATACAACTTCTAGTCTCAGATGGATTCTCCCCTTATTCCTTTTCAAGTGTTTATAACCTGATATACTGCCTGTCTTCAAAAGGATATTTTCCTCTTCTTTTTGCATGTACTTTTCCAGATCTGGGAGTGTGCCTTGATTCCCTGATAAATATGCCAGAACGACACTACTGATTGTAGCAGATCTCTAATTTAATGCTGAAGAAAATTTAAGATCCACTTTTAAAACATTTATGCTTGTAGGAGTGAATCTTAYTAAAAACACACAGAGAAAACTTGCACCATTCACTCCAACAATTTTATTTTTTTCCATTCTTTGAATTAAAATGTATGGGATAGAGTTCTTTTAAAGATACATCRTTTTCCCCTCCCCACAATCTCTCATTACCACTTTTTTCCTGTCCATTCTAAAAACTTTCTTCCTGTCCATTTTAAAAAGAACTCTAGGCTGACAGTTAAAGAGAATGAAATCAAAAGTGGGAAATCAGGATTAGTTAGAAATCAGTAGTCACACTGATAGAGGTCTTCTTATTCAGGAGCATCACATATCAGTAAATATTTCTTATTTCAAACCTACAAGGCGTTAACACCAAGGCCTCCAACTACTTGCAACAAAACCATATGGTTAAGACTGTTTTTTCTGGATCTGGATAGACAAAAGTTCCATTGTGGGCATGATTGTGAATAACACGCAGTAGGACACTTGACTGTTTCAAACTGAATTAAAATAACATTAGTTCTTGTTACTTGCATGCAAATGACCGCCTTGTATCTGAATGCAAGCTGTCTTGGGTATTTCTTATTTAAATAATTAAACATTAAAAATGCTTTGCTCACAGAGAGTATTTCTCTTCCACTTCCCATGCCACTTCCACCCACATGAAATGAGATCTGTGCTTTACCTTGTGTTAAAGAGAGCTGCCTTCACTGCGATAGAGATTGCATCAAAGATGTTCCCACCACATTCCAATAACTAGGGAGGAAAAGAAGAACCTCTTTAAAAGAAAATCAGGCTAGTGYCTTTAAATGAAGTCTTTATTTTATTTAAGTCTACTTGAAAAGGAAGAAAATTAATTACCAGAACAGGTTTTTTAAAAACGAAGTTGTCTTTAAAGCCTATCTATGAAAAGAAACAGATAGGAAATTTAAGATTTCAGCTAACTGTATTATACATGCAAAACAGAAGAGTTAATGCACTTATAATAAAATTAATTATAAAATTTAATAACAGAAGCTGAAAYGAAACCACCACGTTAATCTTCTTGTGCTAAGGTACTGATCTAGACTATGACCAGAATACTCTTTATAAATACATCACATTAATTCTTTAGTGTTAAATCAAGCAATTAATTTTCTATATTTTATTTCAAAGAGCAACCTTTTTTAAAGTATCAGCTGGACAAAACCACCTGGGAGAATCACTTTCAAAGAAGAAACACAAACTGTCACCGAGAACGTGGTATGGAAAGCCAGTTATATAAGGTACAGTTATGAAGGCACATCATGATTTATTCTCTTTATGGGAAACAGTCATGGTCAGGTTTGTCTTGTAGCTGAAAGTGATCTAAGGAAATCCTGATGTCAAAGTCTAYTTCAAATGAGTGTTTTCAACAAGTGAAACATGTGGAGGGAGTCTAGCTCAGCTTCTTCCCATGAAGATTGGGAGAACCACAGTGAAGGAAAAGCAGCACTGCATACTAGGAAAAACGGGAGGGCTCCCATAACCACTAATACCCTCTGCAGGCTGCCAGAAAACTCGGAGATGTGTCTGTCCATAGCTTACTGTCACTTCTCTRACAAGCTCAGCTCTCAGCTGCCAGTACTATTTCCTGAGAACATACACACACACACAGGGAGCAGGCATGTGGAACCACTTCAGCAAGAACATATGGATGCTTCTCCATGACAYCAATCTATACTGTATGAGGAGAGTAAAACAAGTTCTGCAATCCTGATCRCATTGATTGTTCTTCAAAATCTATTTAAAAAAGAGATGAACTCCTGCATGGGGAGCAAATCATAAATGAGATATTCTGTAAAGACAGTTTCACTTTATGAAGACAGACTGAATAGAGTAAAAAGAATGACAAAAAGTTGGGATAGAAAACTAAATACAAAGGTGATCGGATTATTTCTTTGCAAACAGCTGCTGGATATAGACAGGTTAACTTGCCCCTTTCAGTCATTATTGAATTTTACTTGATAACACAATAAGCCTCACAATATCTTTGTTATTGAAACACAGTAATGGGATGTGCCTGTGCTGTTTCTAGGCTTGTGTTGAGGCTGCTGTTCTAAAGCTTTATCTATACTACAGTGGCTCCTAGAGGCAAGGAACACGGCCTGCACAGAGCACTGTGCAACAATCCCTCCGAAAAGAAATGAACCCTTTTCTCAGCGGAAGTGCTGTGTACTGAGATTCCCCCAATTTATTTATTCATGTATTTATTTTYAGGACTAAGAAAGTTGCACARCTGTGAGTTATGGGAAGCAGTGGAGTCTTTAGTGTTTTTAATTCAGCGACACGCAAGTGAAAAAGTTATTGGAAAGACATGGTAACACATTGTAGACCKGAGCTTATTCAGAGAAGCTTTTCCTTCAAAAGTAGAGATTCCTAACTTCTTTTTTTTTTTATCAAACTGAGGGGGTGAATAGGAAACATGAGGAAATCCTGGAGGGCRCTCAGCAGTGAACTGCAAAAATTTCAAGAGAACCTAATGCACCCTTGTCCTCCTGACACACAATCAACTGTGACTGGGTAGGGAATGGTAAGAGATCGCACAATTTGATTCTCCTTGCTTAGCACAGCAGGCTGCTGGGGCAAATTAGGTGGAGAAAGCTATACACATAGATCAAAACCCACTTAAAAATGCCTAAAAGCTTATTTCTGACATCAATGGCTTGCTTGGAATAGGGAAGAAATTGAGGGAAACAYAGAGAGGGTGAGAAGAGGCTTTTGTGATATTCCACATTCATAAGCTACTGTTTGTAAGTGAAATGCCTTCCATTATTAAGAAAGAACGCATATACTTTGAAAGGTCAAGATATATATTCTTGACYTTTGACACTATATCTCAATGTGTCTGTATGTCTGCATCTTTGTGGTGTGCATCATTGAAATTATTTTTTTCCAGTTTGATTGTACAATTATAACATGTCCCAAGTACACTGACCACTAAAATATTTGAGAATATATAAAGAAAATATTTGAGAGATGTTTTTAATCAATAAAGCTGCATGACTCTGCAGAACACACTATTTYATCTTTTAAGGCTGCATGTGTCAAATTTTATTTACACAGAGGGGCTGAATAGAGATGTTTCAATCAAAGTGCACAGTGCTAACTAAACTGCATAGCAATGGAATATCTCCAGGCTCATAACATTCCTTCTGGATCTTTGTCTTTCGGAACAAGAGACTTCCCGACAAATACCTTCACACCTGACCACAAAGTACCAGTATTTTCAGCCTTACGGCAGATTTAAGGCTTATATTCCCTCCAATTTAACTGTGCACCAATGTAAATAATTTCCAGCAATTCTGAAGGAAAACATCACCCAAAGGACTTTCTGTGAATGCTGTTTTCATACTCAGAATCTGATTTCCTCAAAGGATGAATAATATGAGTTGCTCCTTATATTAGCCCAAGTGTCATCCCTCCACCACATTCTATTAAAAGTAGAATTCTATAGGAATGATTCAGCAASAGCAGCTTCAGGAAAATCTGTAGGTGTCAAGCACCTACATTAAGTATACACTATCACATGTAATATACATGTATTTGTAATACTACCTTTTCTAAATAGTAGACGCCAAGAAAGTGAAAATACAGAGGCCTGAGGTGGAAAAAAAAGGTGGAGGTGGAACAGAATAAGAGAGAAATATTAGCAGTATCTTGTTCAAAATGTACCAACAGCTCTCCAATGGTTCACACACAAAATCCCTGCAGAATATAGCATTAAAAGACTCAACAAGTGTAGGGTTGTAATTATGAACCTGCAACAAATGCTTCACTGGCACTGTAAAATGGGCTAAATATAAAATTCCTCACAAAACATAGGTCCTGATATTTATAATTTCAATACAAGTAGTAGCAGGAAAACACCAAGGCTGTTTTTCTCTGTAGCTGTGGACAATCAACWAATCTGTCCATGAAGAATCAGGTAACAACCAGCTGTAACTCACCGAAAAACTATACTGAACAGTATACATGTATAAATATATGCAGAAGCAGTAGCTTTATGAAAGCCTTTGTTTATGCAGTGCCTATGCAATGYTAAGCAGCATGTTGCTTAAATAAGCACAGCATTTAATATTCTGTACCTCTGCCTGTAATTACCTAGTAACTAAAGGCCCCAGTGTGATTTCTARGAACTAACACTTCATTCTCCATTAAACCATGCCAAGCTGCAATAAGCCAGTGACTTAGGCTGTTAAAGCACTCAGCAGAGGTACATTTTCCATCATTCTGTATGTGGACTGCCACGGCATGTACCTCATCTACTGTAATTAGGCTAATGCTACTGCTTTTTAAACACCTAATGAACTAATTTTCACATTTATTTAGGTCTTAGTCTAAATGTCCCTGTTTTGTTCAAAAAACCACTGTATTTAATTTTCTGTCCATACAGCTAAACATTTTGCACATTATTTCACAGACACTAAAGGATTCCTGTGAATAAGAYCCCTCAACATATCTTCACTCCCTAATTTGAAAAGCAGAAACTCAAATTCGGACTAATAGGATTTGGAAATAATGTTCAGGAGAGTCTGACTTGCGGACTTCTATTAAAATTCCCATGACAGAGTGCTTTGAATACAGTATATTCTGGAAACTGAGCTGCTGTGTGCATGAGATTTGTATGCATAAAATTCAGTTTCCATTTTTCTCATGAGAATAAATATTCAATTTATCTTCAATACACGTATAAAACTTTCATCAAAAAGCAACTAGGCTAAACCTAGCTTTTGCCAGTAAAGTTTCTGTTTTACTTTACTGAATTAGTAGTGACAAGACAGCAAAGAAGCAGACACGGTGGACAGTTATGTTAGGGCTAACATGACAACTTACGTTCATCAGAATAATATATTTGCTGATACATCTAGCTTGGAAGAAAAGTTTACTTTTCTATAGAGGTAATTTCCCTTATCAGCTTAAGATCACTGATTTTTATCTGGGACAGATTTGGAGTATTCAATGTTTTATTAGTTCTGCAGTAGAGCAGCAGCATCAGGAAGAGTAGAAAAAGTGCAAGCTGAATAAGTGATTGACTAAGTAGATTCACAAAAAAATGGCCATCCATGCTGTGATGCATTATATCACATTATGAGAAATTGTTGTTTTAATATAAAAAGTATGCAAGATTATGCTAAGTCAGTCTCTGCCTCAAAAATTTTGTTGAATCTTAGTTTTCTTTCTGTACTTACCAATACATCCACATAGAGAACCCAGCAATGCTCTTTGGGATTAATACAAAGGGATTTCAAGTCTACGCTATTTTCACAGCTGAATACTCTGTACAGTGTATTTGCTATATCTGTGCCAAGTTCTTCTCCTCCCCGGCCTTCCAACTCAGGAGAATTTGAAGAACTAGAAAAAGAAAGAAAAAAATAYTTTCACTTATGAAGCAGCAAATACCCAAAGAACATTTCTTAAATATAAAGCATGAGAAGCATCTAAGGACTTACTTGTRTAAGAATACGCATCCTATCTGAAAAGGAATGATTTTCATTTTGCATAAGAGAAGGTTTTGATGCAGAAAATACACTGATATTTTGTTACAAATACTAACTAAATCCCACTACTGTCTTCAGTTCCCAAGTTACAGTAAAAGTTGAWGAATTCTCTCAGAGATTATTTTTCAAGGACTGCCACCTTCTATCACCTCAACCCTTTAAAAAAAAAGTAACTGAAAGTGACTGAAATCTGTACTAAGTTCACAACAGCTAACAAAACAACCTAGTAAGAGCTGAATGTTAAATTATTAAGAGAATGGCTAAGAAGAGAAAGATGTGATGATATGACAAATAGAATACTAATTTTTTATAAGTAACGTGACTGCCTGACCTTAATTGGTAATTTCTTTACTGAGTGTATTGTCTGCTATCAAGCTCTTTAAAGAAAGCAGGTCATTWCTCTCAGCAACTCCAGCTTATGGAGAATAGCAACTAAAGAACRTATTTTCCTGAAGGGACCTGACAAAGTGTGCGGTCTTGACTTCCCTGACTCCAACATTCACAACCTTTATTTATAAGCAGTCATGCAAGAAAGTCCTTGGGTACTGWGGCCTGGTACACAGCTAAGAACAAACTTCTAAAAATAAAAGAAAACAGGCCTACAAAAAGAACCCCAAACAAATACAAAAAAAAAAACAAACCCAAACCAAACAAAAAATGCCTCACCTCCAAATAGCAATAAGATAGAGAGAACGTCCAGAGAAGCATATAGAGCAAAATAATGAGCAAAGATTCCAAACCCAACCTCTAGTTATCAAGAGGGCAAGAACATCTCAAGTGGTGGACCTGTAGCAGCATTGCAAATTTTGTTTTAAAATAAACCAGTCAGACCTCCACCAAATTAGTTTCTCACTGTCGAACACATCAAAGAAAGTGGTTCCACAGAAGTAGTTTTGGTATGTTCAAAACCTGTAATAGCAAAGCCCCGTATTCTCCTGACGGGGCACCTCACAGGGCCAATTTCTCATATATGTTCTGTGTGTGTAAGATGATATAAAACCTTAGTACACAAGGAATACAAAAATACAGCAGAAAACTAAGTCTTGGAATATAAATAATCCCTTCACCTTTAAAAAAAAACCCTGAACAACTAAAGATTAAGGCTTGACTTAAGCCATCAAGACAGCTGTAYCAACAATGCTGCAGAATCTATAACCTCACATATAATTATCTACTATTATTCTTACCTCACARTAATTCTCCCACCTTGTTGTTTTGYAGAGTTGATGAAAACTCAGAATGCCAGGAAGAACTACTGGATTTCACAGAAGTTATTAGCTGCTACTATAAACTGACAGCATTACACATGCTTAAAAATACAAAGAAAACATTACTGCCAATTAAGCACCGTTCCATGCTTCCAAACCACATTGGTAAGCACTGCAAGAGTGACACAAAATATTATTCAGAGTTATTAGACACCAATTTTATGAGACAGAATCATATCTAGGCAAACTCAGTGCTCAGTCAGGTCTTCAGGTTGAATTAAACAAGCACTTATCCAGGGAAGCAGCTTTTATGAAAGTTAACAAGATTGTTCTGTTTAAACCACTCTGTTTAAATCATGGTTATGCAAGCATTATGATCTCTATGATAAGCTGAAAACAATTATGCAAACTTTAATCTATGCCTCATTATTATTTCTAAACACGAAGTTGTATTTTTTGATTACAAGTGAAYGCTTTCTTTGACAATGAGTAGGAAGTACCTAAGACTCAACTGGAATATAGCTGTATATTTCACTGCATCTTAATTCCATTATTTTATTAATACTTCAGAAACACATCAGTTCCTTGTAATCAAAGTCAAATAAAGAAATAAGGTTAGCAGGATATTATTATAATTATATGGTAAACACTGCCACCTAATGCCTACAGACTATTGCAGTAACTTACACTGGACAATATCTGAAAAGAGGTTGTCTTAATAGACTAGAAAGAGAAAATGCTAAAAAATTTGCTTATGGAACATAAAAAGGACTTAATAGTGGTACACAATTTCTACTCCCAAATAGCATGCAATTTTCAAGATTATCAAAATAATTTCACTGTCACATTCCTAACAGTCTAGATTCCTCCTAAAGCATAATGATGCTTCTACCACAGATCTCTACTGAATTTCCAAACTCTTCCTGTTACGGGTCAAAATTTTTCTCTCACAAAAGCTAAGTATTTCCTATCTACTGCTTAGGTCATTAATATACTGTAATCTACAGAAGGTCAGACTTGGACAGATACATTCCTTGCTTCCCTAATTCCACAAGCAAAATCTGATGCATTCAAGGAATTCGGATGTCTGCTTTTCTTGTTGTTTCTATTTCTTACAGTTTGAAAGYGGTAAATCAGATCAGCCACAAAACTCAAGCATGAGAAAAGCAGACACAGCAGTCTTTCAACATCAGGATGMATGTCTTCTCCAGTGATGACGGGCAGTAAGAATACTACATAGGACATGGGTTGTTTTATAATAATTAATTTCTARGATCATGAATCAGTGCCTCAAAAATCATCCCTTCCAGAGACTCACATTAAARTCTGTCTCAGAATGGGACTAAGTGTGCTGCTCAGATTTTTGRTAAAGGACTCAGAGCAGAATAAAGAAAAATAGAARTTTGGAGCAGAGAATTATAAACATGATCCAGCAAGTKATTATTTTCATCAGTAAAAGAAACTAATGTTTCTTTTTTWAAAAAAAAGKAAATGAAAGTTTTGGGAAATAAGTGTTTTAAGATAGCAATTGATGCAGCCTGAGTTTTTATTATTAACTTGAACAATATAAAAGCCAAGTAGAACACACAGGAACTTCACCAGGAGATGCAGGTTATYAAATTATGCTCGGTTACCACCACCCAGTGGCGGTCTGGAAAAGCATCATGGTACTGACAGCAGTTCATTCCTCTTGACAGAGAACAAGCTGTCTCCACTTAGTGTTTTTTGGATTTTTCTGGAGGATAAATGACACCTTTCCTAACACCACAAGCACATGAGAAGTGACTACACTTCTCTAAAGTGCAGTCTTTTGGCCCCTAGTATCACAGAAATTAACCACCCGAATCTATCACAATATCAATGCACATCTCCCTCCCATCTTATGAAGCAGAGATCAGCAGAAAATACAATCTAACATTAACCTAATGAGTTGAAGTTTTTCTAACATGTATTTACAAACACGGGAAGTGTCACAGAGTTGCCACATGTCCACAGACCAATTCTTTTTGTAAGGAAATGTTCCTGCAGCCAGTGGACTTTCTTCATATAGAAACCACCAGAAAAAAAACCAAAACAATAAACATGTACTGTTTAAGGTACTTCATACATGAGTTCTAACAACAGGACCACACTCAAGATCATCTTCCCATTAATATTTTTGAACAGCAATTGAAAACAAAATATTGATTCACAGGTTAGTGCTTTCCTTTACAAAGCATAACTTTCCACAGTTAACTAGAACATGGGGATGTACAGAGCCAGTCTTAGACAAGGCCACATAATGTGACATATCAATAGATATAGAAAATTAGGTCAGAAATATTATCAGATATACACTTACTTAGTAGCTCTCGTGCATCAGCTTTACAAACAGCATATTGGTTAAATGCCAGAATAGCAACGWTTCTTCGTTTTTAATAAAAATAAAAAGAAATGTCACATGCAAAACAGCTAACTTGACACTGCCAAGGCTTTTATGAGAGGTTCCCAAAGCACATGATGTCGTAAAGAGCAGTTTTGGGAAATCTGCAAGACATGGATACTGTAGTCTCAGACTGCAGACGTCTAAACTAACACTGAGATGGCACTGTTCTATCTCAGAGCAACCTGAAAACAAGAGTTCTCTGTTTTTCTCTAGTTTTCTCCATAATTCAAACACTAAGAAGACTGTAAGGATAAACAACAGTCCATTTATAGCAAAACRCAAGGAATATGATTAAAAACAAACACACTTTTAATTAATAAAACATGAATTCACTGATAAATATGTAACTAGATTTTCTAATTAGTTTTTGCATTTGAAGTTTATACTTGCGATTTTTCTTTTTTTAAACAAAAAGTTTTGTACAAAACACACTTTAAACTTTTTCCACTGCTTTCACAGACAAAGTGAGTAAACCTTTAAGTACAGTTAAAAGTACAGTCTGCATTGGTCAGACAGAGCCAATTCTTCTGTTGAAGAGCCAATGTTTTTTTGAAAGAGGATTTCTCTATTTCATCATGTGAAAAACAACAGCTGACATTTTTGTCATGAAGATAGGTTACATGAATGTGTACTTGAACCACTCTTCTTTTCCAGCTGCAGTGATGCTATGCAATTTGGGATTGTTTTGCTTAACCTATTTTCATTCTTTCACTCCTACTGATTTGCTTCTTTTGGGTYTGAGGACCAGCAGAAAATTTCTCAACACTGACTGCTACTGAAACAGTAAAATAACTTGTTTCTATTACTCAAATCCCTAGAGAAGGTTAGTGGAATGAAAGTATAAACTYCTGAAYAATGGCAAGACCTGATTAGTAATTTATTCCAAATATTAGATCTAYTTCATTATTTTCTAGTATACTAACCAGTCAACAAAAAATTCCAGGTAACCTTCATCTGGTTTCTCCAACTTTGGTGTCCCCATTTCAGCTTTTATGCCTACCAAGATATCAGTTTCTCCCTATTAAAACAAAAACATATCACACAACTGGAATTATAATGACAGAGCTACTTGTTTAATTTAAATATCTATGRCAAGCTGACATTTCTACCTTTCAGTTATTGGATCATTCTATCAGAGTGAACTTAAAATAACATTTTGTTAAAAAAACAAAATGCTTTAGAAGAACAATATTTAGCCCAAGATTCTTCAAACAATTACCATATGTATTACCTTTCTCTAGATTAAAAAGACACTCTTAATATCCAAGACTACTCCTGTCCTTTTGGTTTCGTAAACAACTCCTTCTGCAGAACCTTCATAATGGTGCACAGCACATTTATCTTCTTCACAGTAAACTYGTCAGAATTAGTTTTGCTTCATTCTAAAGGAATAGAAATATTTGTSTCCCCCTAGGAATTAGGCTCAACAGCAACTTCAGTTGTCAAGATTAAATGTTAGATTAGTTCAGACTGACGGCTATCCAGGCACTTCCCAGCAAATCCAGCTCAAGSCAGCCTGAACTAATTACATATCCTGTCATTATTTCCATAATTCAGAGTTTTAGTTACTGCTATACACACAAACCCATYTACAAGTAGCATCAACTTAACCAGTCACATGAACAAGAAATTTCACCAGCAAGGTACCCACCCTCTAAGAAATTTACCTACCAGCTTTACTCTTGCAGATCCACTTGTGTTTGATACAACATCTGTTTCTACTTCTGCACATCTGTAGTCTTCACAGCCACGACCATCTACACGAAGRTCCTCCTAAGTATGACAATCAATATATTGCACTTAAGGGAATCGATAATGAAAAGCAAAAAAAAATCCAAAACCCAAAGCCTCTGTGATTTTAAATTTTCCTTCTCCTATACCAAACACAGTAGTATAAAAGCCAAAACTCGTAGTTCCATCATGGAGTACAAAAGAATCAGCTGTAGTTTTTCATTTATATCTCATTTATGTAGAGCTTGCAACAAGTAATCTGCATGCAGACATAAATTACACCAAGTCCCTCCAATTCCCAAAAGAAACCTTCAGATTCCAAAACAGTAATGTCTTTAAATGGTACTTTTTACCTAACACAACCCAGCTCTTTCCCAGGATAAGCAAGTTCTGTAGTTTTACATCAGTAATTAGTACCCCAGCAGACAAAAATATTACATCAGTAATTAGTACCCCAGCAGACAAAAATAATACACCAGCCTTCCAAATGCTTTCATCCATTTGTCTTTCAACACCGGGTATTATTCATCCTCTGACACTATCCAGCTCTTTCCCATAAATACAGGTTTTCAGTAAAATTCAGTAAAAAGACAGTTCTTTATTTTTTGTGGCTTCTCCCTAGACACCCCTCACTCTTCCTCCTTGGTCCACTCAYGTTCCTTTGCTAAGTGACAGGCTAAAACTCTTATCTAATGGCAGTAACTTGAGAAAGAGCCAGGGAAGAGGTGGGCAAAGCCAGGAAAGAGGAGCAAATGGGRACAGAAGGATATTAAGCTACTARCATCCGAAGGAGGGCAATGAAGRTGSTGAAGGGCCTTGAGAGGAAGSCTTATGAGGAGAGGCTGAGGCCACTTGGCCTGTCCAGCCTGGAGGAGCCTGAAGGGAGACCTCAYTGCAGTCTGTAACTCTCTCACAAGGGGAAGAGACACAGATCTCTCCTCTGTGGTGGACAGTGATAGGACGCGAAGGAATGTCCTYAAGTTTTGTCAGGGGAGGTCTAGGTTGGAYATTAGGAAAAGGTTSTTCACCCAGAGGGTGGTTAAGCACTGGAACAGGTTCCCCARGGAAGTGGTCACAGCACCAGCCTGACAGTGCAAGAAGTGTTTGGACAACGCTCTAAAGTACGTGGTATGATTCTTAGGGTGTCCTGTGCAAGGCTGGGACTTGGACTTGCTGATCCTTGTGCGAACCTTTCAACTCAGYTTGTTCTGWGATTCTGTGRAAACAAATCCACGTCCGGCTCTCAGCCYGCTTTCCGTTCCGATGGTCAGGGTGCTCAGATGATCACTGCTCCAGAGGTTCGCCTCCGGACACARCGGTGGAGTGCTCCCTCMTTCCTTCCCTCCTCTCCTCCCTCTTCCCCAGCCTAACCCGCTCCCCGCCCGCGGTACCTGGACTCCATGCACGATGTACAGCTTCTCCGCCTCGCTCAGCACCACGGACGCCATTCCCGCCGCCTCCCGGCCGCACCTGCGCAGTGCCCCGCTTCCTCCCTGCCTTCCTTCCTTCCTTCCTGCTTTCCATCAGCCCGCCCGCGGCGGGAGCGCTGCCGGGTCCCATCGCCGGTGTCCCGCCCGCCCAGCCGGCACCGGCACCGGCGCCTCACAGCGGGAACTCCCCATTCCTGCGGACAAAGCGGGAGGTGCAGCCGGGAAGCCACAGAAGCCTTTCACAGGGAGCAGGCGCAGCGCTCTGGATGCGGTAGCCGCTGGGCACCCCTCATCCCRGCCAAGAAGCGRGYCCTCGTGGTAAACCAAAGCGCCCGSTCTCTGCGTGCCCTCTGTCCAAAACTCCTGAAGGAGGCTCTGGGAATATCCCAGTGCCCAAAAAGGGATCGCGTAGGGATAGTCCTTTGCTTTCCCTCATTTTCCTTGCGGAGTTTTTACCTCGGTCCAAGCGAGGTGCGGTGCCCGGGGAAGGCTGGTGCAGGAGCAGAGAAGAAATCAACCAAACGCTTTCGTGAGGAGATTATGTTGGTACTGTGCCAGATATCGCTGGGAAAGTGCTGTGGGAAATGTAATTAAAAACTCGCACTATATATTAAAACAATAATTATGGGCTGTTTTTTTTTTTTTTTTTGACAGCCTTAATTGAAAGTTTCATAACAGTCGTTAATCTAAGTTTGCACGCCTTTTTGCACAGCTGCTGTGTATAATTTTCAGGGTGTTTTTATAAGATGCTTTGTGACTTCACACTGATGCTTGATTGGATAAAAATGACCCATGGCTCCCAAGGATTACACAGCACACTGCCAGAGTTTATCCAACTTTCCACAGCTCCTTGATCTATCAAATGTGCAGAGCATTTCTGGCTGTGCCTACTTGGTCAGGTGGCATGATGCAGTGGAAACAAACTTCAAGAATGAGGGATATTTTTGGAGGTTTTAGTTTGGTCTGGTCCCATTGGCAGGCTGCTTATCTGTCAGCAGTCGGAGCAGAGCTGATGTTTCTGGGACTCTTCCCATGGCTTACCTGCATCCAAAAGGAGCCAAGTTTCTGCACGCTTGGGTTGTTGCATGGGGATTCCTTGTTGCTTCTTGGTGGGGAGAGGCAGCGGTGGAGCCTGGCGGAGCTGGGAGCTTGGGTAGCTTGTCCTCCCCACTCACCCGAGGGAGGTGAGCAGGGCCAGATCTCCTTCCTGGGCCAGGGGAATGACAGACAAAGGCAGTGCCCATGCCTGAAAGGGCCCTGGCTTGTATATCCTCTCTAAACATCTGCCAGTTCTGCTATCCAGCACAGTGATCCTTCGTTTGACTCACAGTGTGATACTTGTGTGCTCACATTCCAAAGTGTGAACCAAACAAGAAGAAATCAGAAARTCTGTGAAAAAGTGAACGAATTCTTATTCTGAAATACAGTGTTAATGCAAATGCACCCTATGATTTTCACTGAGAGCATGGGAAGATGACATTTTGGCTCTCAGTTCCTTGCTCTCTCATAGTTTAGCCTACAGCAGCTAACAGTTCCAACGGCCAGGAAAGAGCAATATTTTTCCCCTCTGCCATCCCAGCTTGGAGTTTACCTAATGTTAAATTCTTGCATATTCCAGAGGCTCAGCCAGCAAATCTTGTTCACGTGCAAACAGTTCTCTAGAGGTTGGAAGAGGCCAGGTCTGGCTCGTTTTCCCTCAGGGAGAGCAGAAGGCATTCTCTTGCCCTAAAGAGCACTTCTGAGGGCATTCAATTCCAGCAGTAGTGAAAGTTATACAAAATTATTCAATACAAGGCAGTAGTGAAAGTTATACAAAAAAGGATGCCAGGTGTTTCTTAGGTTTGTTGGGGTCATTTTTGTTTGTTTGTTTGGTTTTTTTTTTTAAACAAAGGGAAAGCAATGTATTTTCCTCTAACTTCATTATGGTAAATGACATACATTGGCCCAAAAAAAAGCCAGCCTGAGGGAATCCCCTGAAATGTGAAGATTTGCACTGCATGATTAATGCCTGGCAAGGCTGCAAAGACTAGAACCTGTGGCTTGAGGTGGGCAGTGTCAAGCAAACTCCATCCTTGCTCTGGTTCTGAACATGACACCTGCAGCGGAGCACTCCATGACAGAATCACAGTCACAGAATGTGTGTGGTTGGAATGGACCACAGTGGGCCATCTGGTCCAACATCCCTGCTCAAGTAGAGCCATGCTACAGCACGTGGCACAGGATTGCATCCAGGTGGCTCTGGAATATCTCTGGTGAGGCAGACTCCACAACCTCCCTGGACAAACTGTTCCCATTGAGTGTGGTCACTGCACAGTAAAGAAGTTCTTCCTCATGTTCAGGAACTTCCTGTGCATCAATTTCTGCCCATTGCCTCACATCCCATTCTTGGCACTACCGACAGGAGCCTGGCTCCATCTCTTTGATCTCCCTCCCTGTAGACATTTGTACACATTCATGAGGTCCCCTTTCAGTACTCTATTCTTGAAGCTAAACAGGCCCAACTCTCTCAGCCTTTCCTCCTAAGAACGATGCTCCAGTCCCCCAAAAATCCTGCATTGCTCTGCACCGTACCACTCCTCCTTGGGTACCAAAAGATTTTGGATACCTGCAAACCAAAGACACCCTGAACCTGCCTGGGCTCAGAGGTGCCCGGTGAGGCACAACCATCCGTTCCCATGTCAAAACAAAAAAGTGTGGGATCTTTTTCCTCACAAAACCGGCACCCCTCCCCGCCCCCCGGCACCCGCACGCCCGGGCCGTTAACGAGCAGTGTGGGCACAGGCGGTCCGCAGCCACTCGGGCCCGTCGCCGCTGCCCGCCCGGGGACCGGGGAGCCCGCGGCGGGGCGGGGAAGGGCAGGGCCGGGGCCGCGCTGCCTCCCGCCGCGGCCGTTCACTTCCTGGTTCC